CCTGATGAATCGACTGCCTGATTGAGTCACCGACTAATTGATGATCATTTAATTGAGTCCATAACTAACTCTTTGCGCAGCACATAGTTTGACTAATTAAATGATTGATTGGCTAACTGATTAACTAACTAAATGCTAACTAAACGATGCACTCAAAGGCTGACTAACTACATAAATCTCTGACTAGCTGACTAGCAACATAAACTGAAAAGACTATGGAATTTAAAAGGAGTAATATAGGAATATGAATAATATTGTTTAATTATTTATGGGCATTACAAATTATGATAAACGTAAATTGATTGAGAGGGAAGTACACGTCTATCAATTTCTGGCAATTCAATTATTTCACATCCATCAATTATTAAGCAACGCATCCCAATTGAACCACTTCAACCAATGCAGCTACCCGTTTTTGGGTTAGGGCATTCGAAAGCGTTTATCAGCAAATGACATCTAATGAGTGTTAGACGACGTCGCTTCAGGTGTGAGTCGTCGTCGCCGTCGCCGTCGCAGTCTCTGAGACGCCGTCGCACCTTGAGGCTGGGCAATTGAAACCTGTTAACCTGTTGCCAAATATTGTCGCTGCACGGCCGCAAGCCGTTGAGATTTAAGCGAAGGCCGCTGCTTAGAAAGTCGCACGGAGATGACTCAAATCAAGAGTTAGTAAGGCAACTAAGAGCAAGCCTCTTGACGACTATTTAACGTTTTTATGATGTGGCTGCAGCAGTTGGCCAAAGTGGCGCATGAATCACTTGGCCCAGAGAAATGTGCAGCCAGGCCAAAGGCGGAAATGAAGATTGCGCTACCGAAGTGTTGAATCAGCAGCAGCCGCAGCAGCAGCAGCAGCAGCAACAATGCCCGCTCTGATGGCCGCGATTGATAAGAGCCGAGTCCGGCCGAGAGTGGGTGGGCGGCGTAAGCAATGAGAGGGAGTCGCTGAAGCGCTCAGAGCGAGGGCTGCGTCTAAGCCAACAAAAGCCGCGGGTGGTGGCCAAAAACGCAGCACGCAGCGCAGACGCTGCAGCCGATTTGGCCAACGAGCGCGAGGTAGATGCTCTCAGTCTGTGTATTTGCAGAAGTCAAACTGCGCCAGTTGTCGTCCTTTTTGCGGGTAGGTGGAAACAGTTTAGTTTTAATACCAAGAGCAACAACGGACGGCAACGGGCAGCAGCAGGAAGCGGCTCAGTGGCGAGCGGAGCGCGGTTAACTGGAAAACCACACGTGCCTCCACAGCGGACCACATGCGGCTGCATCCTGGCCAAGGCACAACGCACAACGCACACTCGCCACAGTAGCTGGCCCAGCATTCGTTTCGCATTTGGAAACGCTTTCATTATCCGGCCGCCGAGTGGCGCATCCTGCCGCGTGCAACATTTAAATTTTATTTTATTTCATTTAGTTGTGCCTCTTCGTTCCTCTCGCGGGGAAAATTAAATGCGGCAATGTTACGGCTTATCAAAACATAGTCAATATTTAATTAACACGAAGCGCAGCGTGTGGCACTCTCTTTGGCCCAGATGATTTATGACGCACGGACACCCTACGCCTGCAATGTGAACAAATTTTCCTCAGCTCTGCTCACTAATTTGTTAAAAGGGTCGCTGCACGCGTGGGGCTCACTTGACGCCGACAAAGGTGACGTGCGGCACCCACTTGGGGCCGCCGAGGGGCTGCCCACCTAATGGTGCACCTAATGATGTGTGTCTAGGGGCAAATGCTCGTGATAATGACAGCAAATACGCAATACGCAATGCGGCAAATACCCAAGATATACGATGTGGCAGACACTCACTCACAGCTGGAATCTGGCCTGGCTCTCTGCTCCAATGTATTCGACATCTGGCCGCATTATTGTCAGTATAAATGATTCTTCTCTCGGGGTAAGAAATTGATATCGCTTTGAGCATAACAATTTGATTTTAGACAATTTTACATTCAGTCAATCATTTTAGGCTAATTGATTGATGGAATGTCCAGTAATTATCATGTAAATATCAGTGGCAAAAAAATATGTATATTCATTTAGAGAGAGTCTATATGGAATTGAATGAGAATATGTTTTGAGTTCTTTTTGATTTTGCAATATTTTCTTTAAAAGATATAAAAACAAACTTGATTTTCCTCTATTTTACATTTAGCATCTACAGAAAAATAAATGAATCTAACCATATTACAAATATTTAATCTCGTTGAAATGAAGCACAAATTACGTTAGCAAAAGTCTTATAAAAACAATAAATAAATTAACGAAATTTAGAGACAGCTTTTAAGATTTAAGACTTAGTTTCTGTAAAAAAAAAAAAAAAAATTGGAGATATAAGACTTAGTTTCTGTAAAAAAAAAAAAAAAAAATTAAATTAGTAAACAGAAAATGTTAGAAAACGAAAAAATATTAATATAAAATAAAAGTAGTATAAGAAGTTTTTATTTTTTATTTCTCCAATGGCAATTCAAGTATATTCGAAATTAGATTTACATTTACGTATACATATATGAAATTATTTAATATCTATAAATTTCATAAAAACCCATAGACTCTATATGCTAGCCATGTGAGCGTGTATTAAAATATAAATCTGTCAATTCAAAAGTCAATTTACTTGCGCTTTGCAGCCCACAGCCTTAGCTTGCATTTCCCACTATATTTATCTACACCTTAATTAAATATTATTTATGTGTCTAGAGAGAGAGAGAGAAAGAGAGATAGAAGATGACTTCAGCTCGACCTGTGCATTGCAGTTAGCTCACAGAAGCAGAGTCATGTCATGTACATCCATAAATGCATTGGGTAATCAGTCAATCATTTGAATATATACAAGCAAACAGCACGTTCTCTCGTTTAACAAATCGCTTAACTTAATAGATGTCTTATATAATGTCAAAACATTTGTAGAAGCTGTCGCTGAAATAGTGAGAAAATGCGAGTGACAAATAATTAGAATAAATATATGGTTACATGCCTATGGATATATCTCAATTGATCTGTGTTAACATATACAAATTGAACATTTAAAAGCTTTATGGAATAAATGTATGTATGTATGATGTAGGCCAGGAAAGATCTGTATTTACATTGCAAAATAATATAATATAAACATGTAAAGGCTCCCTGAGCTGATATATATATATTTTGTTTATTTTCTTCGTCTTTTATCTGTCTTCATGGCAGGCAATACTCTCTCTCTCTCTCTCTCTCTCTCCATCTCACTCTATTTCTATCTCTCTCACTCACTCTCTATCTCTCTCTCTCCTTTTCTTTATGATTACTTCTCTCTCTTATGATATATTTCTCTCTCAATCTCAACAACGCTCTCTTTTTGTGTAATGCTTAAAAATAATTTTAAAGAATAAAAATAATAATTAGCTGAATTTTAACAATAAGGCCAAATATATCAAATATTTACAAAATTATTAAAAATGTATTCTTCAGGTATCATACCCATCTTTAGATGTTGCGCACTATGTTCCAACTCCTTGCCCAATGTGGCAAAAATAAACAGTTACAGAAAGAAAAAAACAATTAAAAGTCGATTTTACATTGTATAAATATGTTTATTTATTTACTTATTGTTTTCTTGTCTTTACCACACAAATGCCAAAATAAAAACAAAAATTCATCATACATATTAAAAACATTAAAAAATAGAATATTATTATAATTATTGTTATCATTATTATTATGCATTATTCATTATTATTATTATTATTATTTAGTTTTATTTGCACGCAAGCGATGCCAGCGTTGCCCTCTTTGTGGGCGTGGCACGCTGCATGTAATACATATTGCGTATGATTTCTCATCTGGTTTTTCATTTGTCTTTTTTTTTTTGTATTTTCAAAATTTTTCTCTTTATTCATTTTATTATTATAAATAGCAAAACATTTACAATCTTATTGCAAAGAAATTATTTTGTATGTGAAACTTTTAATTTTTTAATTTTATTTCTTTAAAATTTTTGTTGTATTTTTAATCATTAAACTTAAACAAAACAATGCATTTATATTATTATTTAGTTTAATAGTTTTTATTATTATTATTTATTTTATTATTATAAAATTTATGTAATACATTTTCAACGTGTTTGCGAATTTAAAATACAAAATACTTAAAAATTATGAATTTGTTTTTGTTTTAATTATTATTATTATTAAATTGTAATTAACTGTATTATTAATATGAATAGCGAGAGAATCGCACAAGTTCCGAGTTATAAGGCAAGAGAATTGCAGCTGTTATTGCATATGGATTGAGTGATTGTGTGATTGATTGATTGATAGATTGTTTGTCTGATTGATGCATGGGATTGATGTGGCTATGTTGCACGAGTTGTTGCTTTGCTGTTGGCTGGGCGAAAGCGCAAAAAGCTCAAGCTTAATTGTGCTTTCCCTAAGCAAAGCAAAACTTGCGCAATCTTGCTGAGGCATGTTGCATGCTGCATGTGTTGCATGTGTTGCATGTGACATGTTGCTTGTTGTCTTATTTGTTGTATGCACGCCCACAGGTATTCATGTGCAAGTTTCTGCAAAGATTATTGTAAATTGTTGTTGTTGCTGCTATTGTAGATATGGTTGTTGTTGTTGTTGCTGCTGCGCCTGCGCAACATTTTTGGGGTGGGCGTGGCAGAACCAATTAATTTAAATATTTAAGAAAAAAAAAAACGAAACAGCCAAACCAAAAGCGAATTATCGAATACCAACACCCGATTGCATTCCGATGCGAATGTTGCTGCTGCCGCTGCTGTAGTTGCTGCCGCTGCTGCTGCTGCTGCATCAAAGCTGAGTGTGTGTGTGTGTATGTGTGCAGGTGCGTGTGCTTGTGCGTGTGCTGGTGTCTCTGTGTGTGTGTGTGTGTATGCGGTGCATGAGAGTGGGTCGGTGGGCGTTGGTGCTTGCTGTTGCTGCTTTCGAGCTGCCGATTACCGATTACCAGCAGCTATCGATAACTCTATGTGTGTGACAGTGACCCAAAAAAGTTTCCATTTAGTTTTCTTAATATCTTGTAATATTGCGTGCATTTGTTGTTGTTTGTTGTTGGTGCTGCGGTGCTTAGATATCAGATGTTGCTTTGCGTTTTATATATATATATATATATATTATATATTGCTGTGTATTGTTGTTGTTTCTTTTTTTTTGCGTTTTTTCTTTTTTTTTTTTTCATTTATATATATTGTATTTATGATATTTTAGCTTATCGCCAAACACACTGACTACATCTACAAATAGAAGAGAAAATAGAGAAAACAAATAAAAGGTGATGTAATAGAGACGTGTTGTGATAAATAGTGGAATAAATACATACATATATCCGTAACTATATACGTGTAAATAAATTTGTATATAACTTATCCAATAATTCAGCAAAATAAATTTTCTTGTGTGCTTATGGTGCGATATGTGTGTGATTTTTCTATATGCTTAAAATATATTCGATACTTAAGACTATATAATATACACTAGATATATATTTACATATATGTATGTATATAAATTTGTTCATAGAAAAGCTGTTTATGATTTGCATTTGCAAAAACAAAACTGAAGACTAGATAGAGTTATATATATACATGCATATATCATTTTTATTTTCCTTTCCTGCTATAGCATTTAATCATTCCGACTATACAATATATAAAATATACGTATTTTATAGAATATATTGAAAAAACTATTAAAACATTTTAAAATTAATTGAGTTTTTAATATTTTCAATAGCTATAATGTTCTTTTATCTAATTACTGCTGCACATTTTAGTCAGGTTTATAGACGGCTTCCTCATAAAAAGTATGACTAAATAATTAACAAAGTAAACATCATTTCAATTGTAGCTTATCGAAACGCCTAGTAAATAATTCGTGACTGGAATTTAAATGTAATTTTAAAGACTGGGAATCCATTAATTCCTGCTAAACTTATCACGGTGCTTTTTTGCCAAGTTGAAAATATCTCTTCTAGAGAGTCATAATATAAATAAAGCTTTGACAAGATAACAAACAAATAATACCTCCATATATAACCGACAGATATAAATCTATATGTATATCGTAATGTTAACCAACACCAAAGACGATTTAAATTTTTGTATTTTTTCATGCACTTTTTATGGAGACCAATACAAGTAGCAGCTATGCCTATGCATGTGTGTGTGTGTGTATTTATATACAATTAGAGTTTGAATATTTATACTAGAATACATAGACCGTATACTATGTTGTATATCTGTGCTGAACTCACCTGTGCTGACGCAGATTATCACGTTGCTTGAAGTACTTGCCACAGACCTCACAGGAATATGTTATCTCTGGGGATTTGTGCGTGCGCTCGTGTATCATCAGATTGTAGGGCTTGGTGAAACGCCGCTGGCAATACTTGCAAATGAACTCACACTTCGGACGCATCTTGCGACGGAAATCCGACCGGCAGTCATCGTTGTCGATTCGCATTACAGCAAACATTTTGACAGACGATATATTTTCCCCTCTTTTCGTTGTTTTTTTCCTCTTTTTTTTTGCCTACGTGCGACGCGCGCGCGCTCAGTGCTCGCACAATCAGTGGGTGAAGTTTTTCGTTCAGTTGGCGTCGCTGCCGACGACACACACTCGCTCTCTGCTGCCGTCTGCTCTCTTGCAATCGCTCTCTCTTTGTCTTGCACTCACAAACACTCAGTGTCGCTCTCGCTCACTCTGGCTGGCTGTGTGTGCTCGATCTCTTGCACTCAGAGTGAGTGCTCGCGCTGCGCTGAGTGGGGTTGTGTTTGAAAAGCTTTGAGCTTTGCTCTGTCTGCAATGAGCGCAATGCTTGACGCTGTTAACGGTACTCAAAGCGTAATCGCTATCTCTATTGCTATGGCAGATAACAGTTATTTGCTGTATGTGTGGCAATGCTTTTTCTTTTTCCTCTTTAAGTTGGTTTTTTTCCTCTTCTCTCCTTTTGCTTTGTTTTTTTTTTTTTTTTATTTTTTTTTGTCAACTGTCACACGCTCGCTGCTCGTTGGCTGTTGGCGTTGTTGTGATTTCTCCGTGTGCTAGCTTCGCAGTGGTTGCTGTTGCTGCTGCTGTTGCTGTTGTTATTGTAGGCGTATTGGGTGGGCCGTATTTCCAGCTGCCGCTGCTGCCGTTGCCTTTTAGTTTATGGCGCACTTTAAGGCAAACACCTAAAAACACAGACAGAGAGAGGGAGAGACAGAGAGAGAAGAAACAAAGTTAAATAAAGTTAGCAACGCCTGCGACATCTTTTATGTGCCAATAAATTTGAGCAAAAATACCACAACAAAAACAACAAAAGCTAAAAGAAAAAAAAAACAAAACAAAACATCTCGACAACAACAAGTTGTCAACTTAAATCACGCAACATGAAATTGAAAATGAGTCATTAAAGCCACCTCAACCGCTGGCCCCCATACGCAACTGGAACTCGAACTTGGTGTTGACATTTACAAATCACCAGCCGCCCAGCTTCAGTTGCTAACCTTCGCTTATAATTTGTCTTAAACGACAACACCGACTTGCTCTCGGCTGCTTCTTATTTATTTTGTAGTTTTTTATTTCTTTTGCCAACCAGTCAGCTGTTACTGCTGTCGCCAACTGTACTTCCGCAACACAACTGTTCAATTAGTCGCCCGCGCAATGTTGAAACTAAAATACGAAATCCATAAATAGTTACAGCTTGACCTGAATTCAGTTGCAAACAGCTCGAGGATAACCTATTCAGTTGGGATACAAGTTTTTGAACACTTCAGTAAAATACATCTTAATGTGTAACTTCTTTTTCTTTTTCTGTGAAAAGGAGTTGGCATACCAATTTTTTATATCTTGGCTGCTCTAACAGATGAGTTCACATAAGTTAACTATAGACACTCATTATGACTTTAAAACTCACTTTAGCTAAGCCTCTGGGTTGACTATCAATTAAATCATTTAACTTTAAATTGATTCTATTCCTTATATTAAATATCTCTAGCACATAATATGCTTCAAGGCTTATGCATTACTAGAAATTTATTGTCAAAGCAAGACATCAAATTTAAGGATTATAGCTCTACTAACAGCTGAGTTCACAGAGATCAAAACATTAAAACTCCACGAATCTTTAGTAATTACATAAAGTATACACAAACATGTGTCCAATATGTCCCTAATTAGTCATATAATATTATATAGATTAAAGTAGTTTTTGCAGCCTCACTTGAGAACGGCATATGATCTATGATATACGTATATGGCTGCAATTGTCCAAGTTCATGCATTGCAATGCTCCAACTGCTCGATGAAGAGCATACATGAAAAGTTAATGATCATAGCCACAGCGACGGCCCAGTTCACATAGGTCACTATGGCCGTCTATGGTTATGGGCGCTATAAAGATGCTGAAAGGCGTCACAAATTCACTCGGAGTGGTGTTTATGCCTTTACGACGTCACCTTGCCGCATTCAGTTGCCATATTTTAGTCGCTTCATTAAAGTGGCGCTGTAACAAGTTTATTTTTAATTGGCGCCTGGGCCGAAACAGCGCCTCAAATTTATGCCCGATGATTTTGTTTTTGGTTATATTCAACGGATCTCAATGCCTGCTTCTTCTTTTTTCTTTTGGGATCCTGCGCGGTAGTTAACAACTGTTATTTTTTATGTAATTTTATTTTTGTCATTTCGGCGCCGCTGGATAACATTTTTTTTTTTATTTGGATTTTGGATATATGCATATGAATATGTATATAAATACGCGTCAGTCCCTTAATGTTATGCCATACATTCTTGGAGTTTTTGGAATGGGAATTCGGATTCGGATTCGGATTCGAAGATCTCTGTGCAAACAAAAGCCTGCGCTGACTGGTAGCGACAACGTCTCTCGGCAAGCCCCGATTTCGATATTTATATGAGTTTTATTTTCATTTTTATTTACTTTTGTTGTTGTTGTTGGTGTTTTTTTCTTTTCGTTTTCTTTGATTTTGTTGGGTGCGCGCAGCTGGAGTTTGGCTGCAAGAGGAAGACAAATAAAGTGGCTTTGGTGCTTTTTGGGGCTTTGGGGGCCACAACGTTGACAACAAAAGGCAAAAGTCACAGCGGGTGCTGCACCAGACGCAGACGCTACGTAGTTATTGTCATTATAACATTAATGTCCACTAAACATATTCAAATTATAACACTGACGTTCAGGTCGCTGATCGCCAGCTCTTAGAAAGAGTGCGACAGAGAGACACGGTGTAAGACAGAGATGGAGAGGCAGCGAGGTAGAGTCGTAGTCCAAGTCCATGTTAATTTGTGTACACAATGTGGCGTCACATTGGCATTTTAACGCCGTTAATCATGCGACACAGGGCGCCTGCATAAGGCCATGGGATTCGTTGTGGATGCGCTGGAGGAGGCTGTGTCCGTCCCGCCGTCCCTCTGTCGGTCTGTTGGTCTGTCTGCTGAGCTCGCTCTGGCCTTTGGCTATGCTTTTTGGCTTTTTGCCTTTGGGCCATGCTTTTGTGGACGGCATTTGGCGTGGGCCTAACTGGAGCAGCATTAGCCACGGCTTACGACTGCGCCTAAGCTTTTCAGCTTTATTTAACTTGACAGATGAGCCAGCCAGATGAATGCGTAAGCGAAAGCACAACCACAAGCAGACGATGAAGAGGAGGAGGAAGGGGAAGACGAAGTGTTACAGCTTATTTATTGGAAGACCATTGGGAGGAGGCAAACTCAATGAACTCGACTTTTGCAAGAGATGACAGAGATGTTTGAACCAGAGCAGTGGAATTTGTCGACTTACTAATATTTTAAAAAGATTTGGAAATATTTATATTGTTGATGGCATTCCAGTTTTGTTGTGAAATAAATGAATTAAAAATACATTTAATTGCTCTTAGCTTCTTTGACTGTTTTCAAAGTCAGTTGAACTCTTTAGGAATCTGTAGAGACTTTTGATAAATACAAGATTTTTAGTTGGTAAACTGAAATATCAACAAGAGTTCTTCTAGTTTGTTCTTATTTAAGCGAATGTTTCATATATAATGTCTCATTGTTGTTTATCCACAATTTAAAACCTGCTCACGACGCAAAGATCAGCAATAAATGTATAAAAATAACTGTTTATAAATAAATCATGTGGAATTCATTTAGCTTATCAAAGTGCATCTACAAAGCAGAGACACCGTTAAGTAGCTATTTCCAAGCGATTTTTAAG